AAGGAATTATTTGCCCTATTTCTCTCTCAGTGAGTCTGTCATTGGTGTAGAGGAAAGCTATTGATTTTTGTGTGTTGACCTTGTAACCAGCTACTTAACTGAATTTGGTTATTAAGTCTAGAAGACTTTTGGTGGCAGATTCCACCTTCTTGTAGTCCATTCAGCTCATCAATAGTTTAATCCACTCATGAGTTTAGTGTCCTCATAATCTAATCCCCTTTCCAAGAGTTCCTTAATCCATTCAAATTGGCAAGCAAGAGTAACTAGCACAGAAGGTATATGCAAAGGCTAAAGGATAGATGCCAAATATTTCAAATTTTTTCCCAAGGCAAATCTTTCACCCAGGGAAAAGAGAGACATTTTTTCTGCTGTCATCTTCCTCTTCTTTTTGTTCTAAGAATCAAGTGGGAAACAAACTAGAAGAGGCAAGTATGAGGAATCCTTGTAATGACAGAATTTTTCTCTATCTTGATTATGCTATTGGTTACATGAAAATATCCTTGTGATAAAATGACAGAAAACACACGTACACACTCATGTAAATGCATGTAAAACTGCTGAAATTTGAATAAAGCTAATAGATGATGTTAATGCCAATTCCCTGGTTGTAATATTGTACTGTAATTGTGTAAGAAGATATCATTGGGGAAAAACTGGGTGAAGGGTATAAAGGATATGTCTGTATTATGTCCTGCAACTGCATGTGGCTTTACATTTAAAAAATTTTAAAGCAAACTAGTTGGGACAGCATTTTCTTAGAATGACAGGCTGAGCAGAGTTTTCCATCTAATTTAGAAATGTTAGGTCTGGAGTGAGAGTCATCAGAATGGTTTAAAATTTCAATTGTGAAAGTTAACACTAACCACTGTGATTGCTGGAATTTTTATATTTATTGTTGTCTAAAACAAAGGGCATGTAGCAAAGGAATTTCAGCAGGGTCAGAAAAAAGGAAAATAGAATAAGGTAGGAAAAGAGATAAATGCCAAGCATCTGGTTTCTTTGTTCTGAAGTACTCTCCTCTCATAACTGATAGTCTTAAGCACTGAAAGGAAAGAAGATGATTGGGTGCTTGATATTGCTAGAATTAAAAATATCTTTCTATGTGTCCCTTAAATCAAAGTTCAGGCACACAACTTATTCTAATATATTTTAAAATCTTGATCTTCCCAGAGAACAAGAATAATTTTCTACTCTCTTTCAAATAAATGGAAAGATGGATGTGTGGATATATAGGTAGATACACACATACATACCCTATTCATTTTGTTGGCAGGTGACCTAAATCCAGTGTTCACTTGAAGACTATTTTAGTGAAAGAAATTAATTAACTTTAAAATTTGATATTTCAGCAAACAATTCTTCAAAGAACTTGTAACGCATTGCCAGCCAGCATTATTCTTTTGCACATATTCATTTTCTATATTAAGAATTCCTCCAATTTTTTTACTTTAGGTGACCAATAGTAATTTCTCATTTTAATAAGTTGGATTTTATTTGAAAATTTTTTCCCTAGTACCTCAGTTTCATTTTGATGGGAAAAGAGCCTATTGTCTCTAAAGTCTAGTAAAATAGTTTTCAAAGCTCTGTCTCCACTACTCACTGAAATTATTGGAGCAACTGGGTGGAGTGACCATGTACTACTAAATGTTTACTAGATAGATGGACTGACTTTCCCAACTTTGCCGACCTTATTACCATAGAGTTTGGTATCTGCTGAAATTTACATAGCAGCATACTGATTTGTGTTTGCCTCTGTCTTTTGAAAAGATCAATTATGTTCACTGCCTGTAAGCTCTAAAGATAGGAGTTTTCAATCTAGATGCTTTGCACCTGAAGATTTTTTATTTTCACTTCTCTTTGATTTGCAATGATAGATTTTAACTATCTGGACTGTAGATTTGTTTCCAATATATTGCAAGACACAGGGATATTCAATCAAACATAGTGGTTCTTTCAGATTTCTACACTGTATTTTCACACTTGAAATATTCTCTGTAAAAATGATTTTGCTCTTTGTCTAACTTATCTAATTGATTTGAGTTGATCAATTCCTATTAATTTGGAGATTATGCCTTACCTCCTTTAAAAAGATGGGTAAGATAGATTACCAAAATCAGTGCAAAACAGCTTTATCTTATCCAGAATTCCTAATATCACATTATTGTCTGACTGAATTTTTTTAAATTTGAATGAGAGCTTCCTAGTCTTTTTAGTTTGAACTACACATCTGCCCAGTCTGCTGGGTTTTGCCCTGTGTTCTCCTTATGATTTCTCCGGTGTGCATTGCTTCTCTCTCTGGAGCTCATGTTTGAGTAGCAGAAGCTCTATCTCTGATTTAAGCCAGCTCTTCCACAAGACCCCCAGTGCAAATTTCATGTAATTGACTGTTTTTCTGTTTGCCAGTAATGGAATACATTCTTCCAACTCTATACATTTCCTGTTTTTAGGTCAGTTGTTTAAGGAAATACCCAAACTCTCTTAAGCTACAAATTAAATGGGTTGTCCTGATTTTGAGGAGGGAAACTCCTGCCGGGGGTCTTCACTGGTGTCCAGTGAGCAGAATCCCAAATAATTCTGGTCCTAATGATTATAGGGCATTTTGTGTGATCTCCCAGTAGCTACATACCAACTCTCAGAAGTAGTTTTCTGTTTTACTTCTGAAGAAATTACATCTGAAGAACTCTCCTGACCCCGATGGATTGGATGTGGAAGAGCTAGTCTTACTGTTCATTCCAGTAAGACCATATGTGTCTCCATGGAGAGGCTACTGTAGAATTAAGTCACACCAAAGGCAAAAGCCTACCTTAAAATGTTTTGTTTGTTTGTTTCCCCTGTTGCTTCCTGGAATGTGGCTGATGTGGGCTAGGAGCTGTCAAAACTTGAGCACCTACCCTTTTATCCATGGGCTGAAAAGTCACACTTGTCAGATAATATGGGGCAACTCTGAATGCTACCATATGCCAGGGGCATGCAAGAGCATCCAGTGTGAGCACAGTTTAAACCCTAGAGAAATCTGTCTTCAGATATTGCTCATCCACATAGTTGTATCAGTCCAAAGTCTGCACCCCCAGGCAGTACATGCTTATGGTGGCAGACATGTTCCCATCGATGTAGGAATACCTAGGGTCTACCAGTGTCTGGGACAAGTAATGGTATTTGCTGAAAAAAAAAAAAAAACCAAGGGAACTAGTTTATAATATTCAACCCTTACTTGTATGTTCTAGATTCTCATCTAAAAATATATGGACCAAAATAAGGCACTAGAAAATATTTTCCTAAATATTTGATACTTGGATTCAACAAGGCCTTTTATTGAAATTCACCAAATTTAAGAGCTTCCTACCCCAGAAAGTCTGTATGAACTCACATCAGCTTAAACAGGTTGTTGTCAGCTGTGTGAGACAGATTGAAAATATTTGCAGATCTATACAAGGTTCATTAGCAGGCTTAAAAATAAGAATCAAGGTTAATAATAGTGAACACTTTCAAAAGTGGTAAAAAAGTAGGTTTTTAATATTCTTACCATTAAAATGACAAGTTGGAGAGTGATGAGTATATTAATTAGCTCAATTAAATCTTTCTATAGTGAATACATAGATCAAAACATTACATTGTATCTGATAAATACCACTATTACTTCCTGATTAAAACTAAACAAATGCTTCTAAAGTATAAAACATCCCAAAAAGTTGAACTTCACAGGCTTAGCAGGAATTAAAATGCTGGGTTTATATATATATATATCCATGAATAAGTTCTAGCATTAGCATTATGTCAAGCAGTCACTTATAAACCACATGAAACTCAGGTTTAATGAAGTCTCACTATGGCCTCATTGAAATTATTTCCCAAATATTAACTTTAGAGTGAAGACAAATATTAGTCCTGCCTTAATACCTAACCCTTGTAGGCTGCCTCATTCATGCAGTAGCATACAGGGCATATTTATGTCCCCCACAACACACATACTGACTCCCTCTCTCAAATTCCATCAGATGATGTTCACTAGTTCTTTCCTAGAAAATGTGTAAAAAGGATTTCCACAGAGGTCTTTGGAGATTTCCTGTGTCCTTATGTATGTAATTGGTTGGGTCAAGTAACAATAAAGGAAAAAGAAAGAAAAGAAAACTTTATTTTATATATTTTTCTCCATTTGGATATTGAAAGGGGCAAGAGAATAGAAAAGAAGAAAATAATGCCATACAGATGATGTTAGTGTTAAATTAAATTAAGATCATATGTTTGCCTATGGTAGCTGTAATCTTTTGATTATTGAAGAGACTTTTTGTAATGAAGTACATTTGTAAGAAATATTTTTAGTATGTACTATAATCATGTACTCACTGTCAGATGTGCATCTAATAAAATGATAGATTTAGAAATGGCCTATCACCTAAATTCATGTTTTTCAAATAGCTCTTTATAGAAAGCAAAGTGATATTTAAGTTAGGATAGTAGAATATTATAATCTGGTGTATATTACCTTTGATAATAGTCCCATCTTTTAAAATAATGTTGTAAACCATTCAATTATTTATTCACACCTAAGTTCCATAAATTGGAAGATTTGAAATAGTGTAAGAAAATAATTATTGTTACAATAGTAAGACCTCGCTGTCGTGGCTCAAAGAGATCACCATGAAACAAGTTATACTACAGATAAAAATAAACCAAGCCTACATGAATTTTTAATAAACAAAAAATTTTTATAGAGACATTAAAAATAACTGTTAATTTTAATCTTTTCCATTCTGAAAGGCAATATCAGTGGTCGCAGCAATGCTGTATGTTCAATATGTATTTCTCTTCCTGACAGGTCCTCAACACTTACAGTAAAATCTCCACAGACCTGAATGATGATCTCAGCCTGGGGAGAGCCTATGAAGCCATAGCCAAGGTCCTGCAAAGGTAAGGTAGCACATCCTTGTCTTGCTGTCACTGTGAATCCACTCAGCTGTGAAAGACTTAAATTGTTTGAGGTCTGTCGCTTTCCATTACTGCCTGCTTAAATTTTAAGCAATGCCCTTCTTAAGTGACCCTTTCATCATAAGTTATTTTAAACCAATGTGGGACTTGAAAAGACGCATCTAAACTCTTCCTTGTCTGTTCCTCCTTTTTATCATTTTCTTTTTGGTTTTCTGTAAGTTTAGCAGTGACCTTGGATGCAAGATGGGGTGGAAATCAGGTCATATCTCACGGGTTAAGGAAGCAGAGAGCAGAGCACTATGCAGTATGCTTCAGTAACTGTGGCTGGCCATAACCTTTCCAGAACTCTTCTTTAGGAAAGTTTCCATTTATACTTCAATCATGCTTTTCCCATTAAGACATCTCTTCTTTGAACATATCTAGATAAACAGTTGAGCGCAAAACCAGTATTTTCAGTATTTTATTTAAAATAGAAAACTTAATAAAAGTATACACGAACAACTTCCAATACATAAGTTTTCCATAAAAAATGCATTATTTACCCTTCACTCATTGTACTATTATTGTGGTGTGTATGCCATTTAGTTATGCATTATATAGTAGCACTATGACTTAAGAAAAAATAGAATAACAAAAAGAAAAATTATTGAACTTAAGGCCTTGATTTTCCAAATATCTAAAATAAAACTTTTTAATGACAGCGGTAGTGGCAAAAGATAAAGATTATGTTAAGTTCTGATTTCTTTCCATTTATATCTCATTATAAACACATATGGGGTGATATTTTAGGAGGTAAAATTGTTGTTTAAAGGCATTCAATACTTAAATGTTAGTGAATTGGAAGTGGAGTCATCATTATATAGGTACCATTGCTAATATAATAATCACTGCTTAAAGTTCCAATGCCAATGAAATGGAAGGTATCCTTCAAAGTACTAAATAAAATGGAATCCTCAATGGATAAATGTTTTAGGAACATGGGCGTAATTAATAAGGAGGGTATGGAAATTTACTTAAGAAAGACAGGGCCAGCTTCCAAATAAAGAGTGCTAACTAGTTCTTTGATGATCAAACCAGTTATGCCTTAAAAGCTTTACTTTCCAAATAATAACCAAGAAAGAGATATTGAATACAAAGAAGAGACTGATGAGTATTCAATTTAATATCTATTTGGAACAAATCCAATCTGTGGTCTTTTGTTCAGTTCATTTTAACTATTAAATTACTTGATCCTGCTGGTGTTGCTGCCCCAAATCAGTAGAAAATCATTAGATTCCTCATCTTTCTTCAGAGCAACAAACCTGCCCTGGGCCTATACAGTTTTATAAATGTAACCCTTACAGTGTTCATAGAATAATTTTTACAAAATGACATTTCTATTGTATCCAAATATAACTAGAGAGATGGAGAAAATATTTTCTTGTATAAAGCTTACTGAGTACTTGTCACAAGTACTGTGACAGGATTTGTCACAGGACAAATATTGGACCACCCTTTTGACAAATGATGATCTTTATAATTATTTTTGAAACTTCTGGAAGCATGAAATTGGCTTCAAATCATTCTCACCTTTCTCACTGTGTGCCTCATCTGTAGCATTTAATCTCCACCCCAGGATCTGAATTTCTGGTCTCTATAGTCAAATTCAAGGGGAAAGTTGAACAATTATCTGGAAATATTTTTTGCAATCTACAATCTAATGTTTTCATTGCCTCATATATATTCTTTGGTTTAGGAGCGGGAAAGATACAGTTGTATTTGATTGATCATGACTTTGAGGGTGTTTTTCATAGACATAGGGACAATTCTGTCCCCAAATTCTCAGCAGCCCAGCAACTTGCCTCAGGGCAAACATGTAGTGGAACAAGATGACTTATACCCATTTCACTTTTATACTAAATGAAAATAATTCCACTTGTAAGAATTCCCTTCTACAATAGTGCAATAAAGCTATCAATTATTCGTATGGTAGGTATAGGGTCTTATTTTAAAAGGTTATACAATGTACAGATTACAGAAGACATTTCCTCTAAGATCAAAGGGAAAAAAAATCTCTGAAGGCCACAAGTTCCCCATGCAAATCTGCCATTTCACAGCATGAGTGGTTCTATAGAGGAATTCTCAGAGGATTCTCGGGAATTCTATAGAGGAATTCTCAGGGGAGTGTTAGCCTGGCCTGTTTTGTTTTGTTTTTTAACAAGAATTCAAGTAGGATGCGAAGTAATTTAAGTATAATCTCTTGACAGATAAATGTTTTAAAACCAAAAATTCTATATAGGTAGACACCAGCACCCTGGATATCTGAGAAGCATTATTAAGTCAAGTCCATTAAATAATAAAATCATTGAATATAAAATTTGTGGTTATTTTTAGAAAATGTTGCTTTGATGGTTTGGTATTTTTCAGTAAATGTGTGTACACATATACACGTGCATACACACACACACACACATATCATGCTTTTCATAGTCCTAAACTGTCCTCTTGCAGGTTAGCAGCAACATGCAAGGAATGGAACACAGCCAAAACAGAGAAAATTATGGTGATAGCAGTGAGAAATAAATCAAGTTGTGTATGAAGCTTAGCATCACCTCTAAATCTCCTTTCCCTAACCTGTGCAATTGTACCAGTTTCACTAATGGTAGCCCTATCTCTATAAACGTATTTTATCTCTTTAAAGGAAATGGAAGAGGATAGCCATGTCTAAGATAAGTGTGTGTCTAAGGCCATCAGCTGAGCGTGTATGAAAGGTGAATAAGCTCTAAGCCTGGAAGCTTCTAAAATGGTTATGAGAATTTATGCTAATCCCTCAATTGAAAAACACACCACTTTCTCTCACAACTGAGGATTTGGTAATGTAGTGTGGCCCATTTGGTAATACTAGACCCAGATCTAGCATTAGGTATTGAAGAAGGTTTCAATAGTGAACACGTTTTGTCATTTTTCCATTGATCTGAATAATTTAACTTCATGAGGGAATAAAAAATATACCTGAAAAATCAGCATTTGCAATGTTTTTACTCCCTTACTCAAATTCTAGTGAAAAAGAAAATTTATGTCCTAAATTGCTTTATGATGTTATTATAAAAGCCAGAATTATGATCCATTAAACAAAGAAATAAATGAATTGCAAAATTAAGAAGTAAATATTATTCTTATATAAATAGGTAATTCAGGTAAATACAGAAATGACCATCTTCAATTTTCCTTGTGTGTGTGTATCCCCATAATACATAATACACATATTCCCTCATTTACTGAAGTAACTAATTTACTGAAATACCACAACTCTTCAACATAATTAGGATGACTGCTTAGAAGAACCTAGAAAACTATCACAAAAATGTGTTCATGATCCATTGGCCACAGCTGGCCTATCTCTGGGTTTATTCCATCCTAACTGTAAATTTTCTTGCAAACTCCAATTAAATTATTTCCTAGAAAACTTTCCACGGTGTAGATCTTTAAATCAATCGGTACAAAGTTTCAAGTGTGGAAATTACCTTGCTATTATAGCTGAAAATTAATTTCTTCTTGCTTGAGAGAAATGACACGCCCTAGTAATTTTCATATATTCTTTAAAAAGGAACCTCCAGGCTTCCATGTGAAATTTCCTAAAAATGACCCCCAAAATACATCAAAACATTTCTATTAATTCATGGAATTAAGAATAGCTTTTTGCGTTTTCTCCTGTCACTGATCCCATTTGCCTTATTACTTTCATCTGTGGCCCACAAACTTGGTGGCACAATCAACAAACCCCTTAGCGGCTGTTGCATCTCTGCTCTATTTGATTTCTTCCCTCTGAGTAAATGATTAAGTTTTCATGCATTGGTTCAACCAAAATCTATGTTCACTCAACCACGTCCTTTATTGATTACTTCTACTGCAAACAGTAGGCCAAGTGTGATATACATAATTGGACAGTTGTCAGGGGACGTGGGTGTTAACAGTCCCGTTTTCCCAGTTGGAAACTGGAATCACCTTGATACACAAATATTCTGCACTGCTTCATTCTCATTCTTTGGACCGAGGAGTCCTTTTCCTCAGAATATATGTTTTTAACTCTCTAAGGTCTGGTTGAATGAATTTAATGATTATACCATATAATATGCTGTTCAAGTTGCACCTGTGCACTGCATATAGAAAACTGGAATTAATATTTGTGTAACATTTTAACCTTGCCCTTGAACTTATACAAATAATCTGTAGCTTTTCTGTAGGAAAATATGTGATTTTTTTCCTCTTCTAGGGAAAGACTGACTTCTTTATCTATTGGTGCCTCTCACATTTGAAAATCCTTTCACCAACATATATTGTGCGTATTTCAGTTGGTAAATTACAAACCTTGCTGGCTGTAGAGCTGTACATTTATTGAGTGGAGCATACCTTTTATAATAGGTCTTTTCTCCAGCATTATTTGTTAGGGCAAGTCCAAGATAATTTTGGATGTTTTGGAGGCCTGCTGCTCTTTTTGAGGAAAAGAAACATCTCGAATTACCCAGCAATACTTTTATTTACACAATTTTATATTTCTTGTTCACTGAACTTGGGTTTCTTTTTGGTAATTTGTTTCGTGTGTGTTTGTTTTGAGTTAACAATCCTCATCAGACCAAATGTAGTCCAAAATATATTTCCATCAAAAATATATCCACTTTCAACACGTGAACATAAATAAGCTTCAGTAAGTTCATTTCTGGTAAATAATATTAAATTTTTCCTAAGTTTTTAAAGTGTCTCTACTTCTTTCTTTTTTCTTTAAACAGCTTGAAAAGCTAACATCAATTGACAAAACATATTGACTCTAAAAATTACTTCCTATTTGATTTATTAATTTACATATTTTTTTATTTATTAATAGTTTATACCCTTGAATTCTCTCAATACCTTTTGGTTTTCATACACAACTATCACATAAATTAAAATAATTAGTGAACTCATTACATTTTATTCAATGCTTGCATTTGAAAAATTCCTCAAATAATTCCTAATTTTTCTGGAGAATTGGCCTCACTATGGAAGATTTTTTCATGAAAATATTTGGTCATGAAAAAGTGAGAATGGAATTATAGAAATCACTACTCACAAACTCAGGAAATGTAAATTTCCATTTTATTTCTTAATGTTAGAGCATTCTTTTACCAAGAAAGAAAGGAAAAATTCATTTCTATACCTGATACTGTCCCTCAGACAAAAGTCTACTATCTAGAATATATAAAGATCTTAAAAAATCAGACCTCCCAAATTTAAAGACCCAATCCATAAATGGGCATCTGAAATGAACAGACATTTCTCAGACAAAGAAGTAGAAAT